TTCTGTCTGATTTCTGGGTCCAGCTGGCATAGTTCCCACTGTGACTAGGGGAAAAGACTGAGGGCAGGAAGTGAGGGGGGTGAGGTGGGTATGAAGAAAATGTCCAGAGATTGGATCTGTCCCTAGTTTGTCTCAACCCCCTGGCCTCTGATCAGCTCTGATGGATTAGCTAGAGCATGTAAAGTAGATTCTAAGAAGAGGAGGGAAAACTGACTTCCTAAATACATGAGCCATGGCCATGGCTTTTCCAGCCCTTGGAAGAAGTGTCCCCTGTTGTCAATCATGGTTCACTCCTCAAATGTCTGTTGGGTGCCTTGGGGGAGGGAGTCCATGGGTGGTGCAGACAGTTGTGCCCTTGGCTGCTAACTGAATGTCTGGAGGTCTGAGTCTACCCACAGGTGCCTTGGAAGAAATGCTTGGTGATCTATTTCTGAAACCTAAGCTGTTGAAAACCTTGTGGAATACAGTTCTGCTCTAACACATGTGAGGTCACCATGAGTCAGAGTCAAGTTGACAGCAGCTGTTTTTTTCTCTTTTTTTTTTTGCCTTGAGGGAAGTGGATGTGGCTGCTCGAGGGAGGGTGAAGTTGTCACCTCACTGATCCTAGGAAAAGTGACTGGATTGGTGGACACTGGACATTGTGTTCCTCTGATCCTCATGAGTCAGTGGCTTGTGCTTCTTTGGGTCTCCCTGATCTGGCCCCTAGCAGGAGGCAGCTGTAATGAAGGAGCCACCAGGGTCAGCCTGGTAGCCCCATCCATCAGCCTGTCTGCCATCCATTCTTCCTGGCGGGGCTGCAGCTGGCAGCCTGGTCTTGGAAGTGATTCCATAATGGGAGCCAGAGTCATTAAAAAGTCATTATGATCTCCTCACATGGTTATCGTTTAGTGCTGCCTAGAACGATGCCCTTAGAAAGAGGCAGGCTGGGGAAGTGTGGCTAGAGAGGAAGGTGCCCTAGGAATGGTGCTATAGTGGGAAGTGAGGAGGCAGGCCCATCTGGGGTGGGCAGAAACGGGAGCAGGGCTTGCTGAGGAAGTGAGAGGAGCTTGGGAGTCTGCCATTGTAGCTGTCATTGTTCACCACAACATGCTGTCAGTTTGTAGGAGATTCTTTGTTGCTCACCAGGGACAGATGTTGTGCGTTCTGGATGCATTGTTGTTAGCCAGAAACACCCACTAGGACAAGCTTATCAATGATCGGGTGTTGGTCACCTGAGTTGATTGTCATTCGCGTTGTGCAGTTGCGGCTGGCTGCAGCTCTTCAACACACACTGCTTCACCAGGACCCCAGCTTTATTCCACGTGTGTTGTTGCTCACTCTCAGACCCTCCTTAAAGTGCGTTTATTGGACGCCCTCTGGGATGGGGCTTGCTCAGCCAGGCACATTTTATTCACCAAGCACATGTTGCTTTTCCCATCTGCTGCCCCCAGCCATGCATGCTCCAGTCCTCCTGGCTGCTTGAACATGCCTGGTGGTGAGTGAGGTAGTGGGTGGCCCTTATAGGCACTTCCAGGGTATCAGAGGCTTCTGGAATTTCTTTTCAGAAGCCTAACCCTCATATTCAAGGAGCTCTGGTGGCATAGTGACTAAGGCATTTGACTGCTAACCAGGAGGCTGGTGGTTCAAACCCACCAGCCACTCTGCGGAAGGGAGGCTGGGCAATCTGCTTCCATAAAGATTTACTGTCTCAGAAACCCGGTGGGTGTTTCTCTGAGTCAGAATCGAGTCAATTGCAGTGAGTTATTTTTTGTTGTTGTTTAATCCTCATATTCATCCATCTATCTCTGAAGGCTAGTGGTTAAGTCCCTTCTACCTGTAATCCTAGGTGGTGATCAGTGTTCCTGCAGCCCGTGGCTCGTCATCATTCTCCCTCATCAGGGAGTGGAGGTAGGGACCCAGGAAGAGGAAGTAGTGCTGGTTTCATGGAAACCAAGGGGAAAGTCTGTGGTAGTGGGACAGAGGCCTGTGGTAGCAAAGCACCCTCCCCCCTTGATGGGTAAAGACATCAGGAAGGCACTGGCCAGTGATGCCATTATGGCTGGAACCCCCATTTGTCAGTCAAGCAGCCACTGTGATCCAGCTGTTCTGGAGATGGCTTGGCTGATGGGAGTCTTAACCTCTCAGCTAGATGGCCCCTTTTCCAAAGACCCTTGATATTAGTGTCAGAACACAAAAGGCACTTTCTCTGTCCTGCTCAGCCAAGCACAGTGCCTGGGATGACCCAGATGACTGTCCCCTCCCTGGCACTGCCCTGTGACAGTGCAAGTGGCCCATGAGATCCCAGAGAGCTGTGAAATGGCCTTGCCTGCTGGTGCAAAGGAAGCCAGCCTGGGTCTTGTGGAGGGTCCTTCAGGGGCTCCTGGGGCCACACCACCACTAGCACAATTGTGAGAATTACACAAAGGCACTGCTTCCTCAGGGCTGCCTGTCTGCGGGCACAGAGATTGGCAGGCAGGTGGAGCATGGATGCATTCCAGGCCCCGTTGCTCTCCCCTTAGGTGCCATCATGTAGAGTCCAGGGTGCATGTGTACTGTGTCAGCAGCCAGACTATGGTGGACCATTGGTGTTTGAGGAGACTGAGGGATCCTCCCACCCCCTTTGAAACTGGTGTGTGAGCAGATGCTCTGCCCTTGTGCTATTCAATCAGGCCATTTAACGTGAAGTATGGAGACAGGTGGAAGAGTTACAGGCTCCCAGACCTGGAGAGGCCCTTGGGCATCTTGTTCTTCCTGGTGAACCCCTCCTTCTCCAGTCCTCTGGCTGGCGTGTGCCCTCAGTGATGAGGCATTCACCTCAGTCAGCTCTCATTTTTAGGGAGCTGGTTCTCTGTCCTCAGGCCCTTGCATTGTCATCAGGGAGCCTCAGATGCCGAGGTGCCTCTGGGGCAGGTGGGTTATTTTAAGCAGACTGAGGCCTTGGCTCGGAAGCATGTCTGTTGAGCAGTGTTTTCTCTGCATTCTGGCAGCTAAGGGTTTGGTGAGTGAGGTTGCTCCGTGCATGGCCCCAGATCACTGTCAGGTTGTTCTGGGGTGCAGAGCAGCCTTGGGGACCAAGAAAGACCTTTCCACATGTTGAGTGGGTGGACATCTGCTGGTCAAAAACATAGAGTTCTCATAGGTTGTGGCCAGGGAGGTGGGTGGGACAAGTCACAGCCTGAGTGGTGGGCTTTCTGTGATCCACAGGCTCTTACCCATCCTCTGGCTGGTCCCCTTGGTACAAAGAGACACCAAGTAGTTTGGAAGAGCTTAAGGGACCTTTTAAGTCAGTGATTGTTCTAGTTAGAAAGGGCTTCTGCTGTCAGGAGGAGACAGAATGGCTTCCCCTTGTCCTTGAGTGATTTGACCTTACCTTTCCCCCATACACACACGTGTACTCACCTTTATGCAAGTGTGCCCACTTACACAGGTGTTTGCATATATCCATGCCCAAGTACATGCACTCACATATACACAGATGTGCTCACACTTTTGGATACCCCCCCACACATGTGCACACCCACAGGATACCTTCACAAACTTCACACAGTTTGTATAGGCTCAGCATAATGCACCTGTGTGTGCACATCAAAAATATGGTAAAACCCATGTGAAGTTGTTCGCTACAGATTCATAAGTAAACACAAGAAAGCCCGTACTTACCTTGCTGACTGGGTGTTCCATCCTTATTAGAGACTGTAAATCTGAAAAGAGGCTTTGATTCTGTAGGATGGTACTATGAGGATGGGAGAGAGACAGATGCCAGCCATATCTAGAACCAGAATCTTTCATGTGTTGAAGAGGTGAAATTGTTCCTTACAGATTAGTAAGTAAGCACAAGTAAGCCCATGCCTACCTTGCTTACTGGGTAGTCTGACACAGAATCTACCCCTGCCATGTAGGTTCCTACAGTTACAGTTATGGCCTGAGTGACTTGGGGGTCCCAGAGCTCTGATCCTCAGGCCCCAGCTCCAACCCATGCAACTGTCCTGACCTTGGCTTTTAATGAGTTTGGGCCTGACTCTAATACACGTAGGAGCTCTGGTAGCATAGTCCCTAAGGCACTTGACTGCTAACCAGAAGGCTGGCGGTTCAAACCCACCAGCCACTCCTTGGAAGGAAGGTTGGGCAATCTACTTCCATAGTGATACTGCCTCAGAAACCCAAGGAGGGGTCGCTATGAGTTGGGGCTGACTCGATGGCACGTAACAACAACAACTCATACACGTGTCTTAAATGAGGAAAAAGCTAAGTGGTCTGAGTTACCAGCTCCCTGCTTGTGTTCTGCCTTCCTGGGAGGCAAGGTCAGTCAGGGTGAGATGGGACTCAAGACATAGCATTTGATTGATGCCCTGGTGCCACCTGCACCCTCTGGCTCATTTTGGGCCTGCACATGGCAGAACTGTCTCCTGTGTGTTGACATGCCAAGCCACCCGCAGACGTTCCCCCAAAGCCTAGCCCTGCCCAAGGGAATGAGTCTCTCAGTCTTATACTCCCAAAAGAGAAGAAAAGCCTCAGCCTTCTTTAAGTGGGGGAGTAGGCAGGGTCAGCACTTGTTCTCTGCCACTTGGCGAGCTAGCTTTGAATAGACTGGGAGAGGATGGAAAGGTGGGGGGCGCTGCTGGCATCCTGATAGGGGGCTGGAGGAAGCAGGCCCCTGGGCTTGAAGCCTGGCTGTGTTGATGCTTCTAGATGGGTTCTCCTGGATGTCAGTCAGGCCAGATCTTGCTCAAGGGCCCAAGGGGAGGGTCTCAGCCTGTATTTACTGGGTCAGGACTGAGTGGGAAGTCCTTGAGGGTGGCAGGGATCCCAGCGGAAGATAAGCTTCCCAAGTGGTAGAAATGTGGCTTAAGTTCTCTTGTCTGTAGCTGATTCTCATGGTAGCCTCTGCCAGTGGGCTCATAGAGGCCCAGGAGCCATGATGCGGGGGTGGGGTGGGGCGGTTTACAGGCCTTTGCTGTGTCTGCGGCAAGGTCTGCGCACCTCATGAGCAGGCCCTGAATACCCTCTCTCTCCCTCTGCAGTGTCTTAGATGATGAGGGCAGCAACCTGCGGCAGCAGAAGCTTGACCGGCAGGTGAGTGAGACCAGGGCAGAGGGAAAGGCAGTCAGTGCTGGCATCCTGGCTGGAGTCTGGGGTTCCCTGCGTATGCTCAGGCCACGGTCCCCTGAATCAGGTGCTGCAGCTGGAGTCTGGGCTGCGATCTCCAAGAGCTGAGGGGAGGGACTGTCCCCATCCCTGGGATGATCCTCTTTGATGGGGAGAGGGGACTCACCTGGAAGAAGAGAGAGCTCTCCTTTACCAGCTCAGCCTTGCCCTGCTCCAGTACACGGGGCCTTTACTGAACAGCCCCCAGGGTGATCAGAGTTGGAGGGCTGGGGTCTGTGTGTGATCCTGCCATGGCAGCCTCCTAGGCTGCGCTTCACCTCCTTTTCCTGGATCCTGAGTCTTGAGGCATCGGGTTACATGTAACCTTGATCCAGAGTGGGCTGCAGACCCAAGGGTGACCTCTGGAACCCAGCTGAGCAAGCAGGGTTCTCTGCCCCGTCCCACTCTAGGAGCCCCTCTTTGTTCTCAGAGGTTGGTGGACTGCCCTCTCAGGGCCCACTAACCTGTGTGCCACCCCGTGCCTCTGTAGCGGGCCCTGCTGGAGCAGAAGCAGAAGAAGAAACGCCAGGAGCCCCTGATGGTACAGGCCAATGCCGACGGGCGGCCCCGGAGCCGGCGGGCCCGGCAGTCGGAGGAGCAGGCCCCTCTGGTGGAGTCCTACCTCAGCAGCAGTGGCAGCACCAGCTACCAAGGTACGCCCTGCCCACTGCCCCAGGAGAGCCAGCTGGGGGAGGCCCTGCAGCGTGGCTCCATCCCCGGCACTGTTTTGGGGAGGCAGGGGGATTCTTGAGAGGCTTAACCCTGTCAGTCTGCCCACTTGGAGCAGAGGAGGAAAGCTCCTGCCATTTCTGGCCTCCAGCCCCGGTGCGCAACTGAGTGGGGCCAAGGGGACCTATTGCCTGGGGTTCCCTGCTTATGTTTAGGCCGTGGTCCCCTGAATCAAGTGCCATGGCTGGAAGGTTAAAACTTTCATCAATCCAGGTTTTTGATCCAGAACATTTCAATGAGAGCAGGAGGCAGTGCTTCTGAACAAAGTCTGTCCTCTGAGAAGATGGCCCCCACCAATATTGCACCTCCTAAGAGGAATCCCTCTCATCCTGTCCCACACCAGTGAGTGTCCTTTGTGACAAGCTCCTGTTTCCCTTTTTTTGCACTCTCAGTTGACCTGGCTCTGGCCTGCAGGTCCCCATCTCTGGCTCAGGACGCCTTCAGAGTGTGATATCCTCCCTTCCTTACACACTCCAATTCTCAGCAGTTCTCTACAGCTCATTCTGGGTAGGGCATGGCTTTGTTGTATCCCTGTGCTTGGGACACTTCCTTCTGCTTAGGTTAGGGTCTGAATTTGTTGTTGTTATGTGCCGTCAAGTCAAACCCAACTCATAGTGACCCCTCCTTGGGTTTCCAAGGCAGTATCACTACGGAAGTAGGATTGCCCAGCCTTCTTTCCGAGGAGTGGCTGGTGGGTTTGAACCACCAGCCGTCTGGTTAGCAGGCAAGTGTCTTAGCCACTATGCTACCAGAGCTCCTAGGGTCTGAATAGCCCAGGCCTAAAGAGGGTTGGTCTCTCTGAGCCTGAAAGAGGCCTGAAAGAGGGACTCTACTCAGTCACCACTGCCCCCTGCTGGTGCTAGGAATCCAGGCCGCTGCTCCTTCAAATCACTGTTGCAGTTAGAAGCCACCATGATGCTCCTCTCCTTCTGTGGTTTCCTCATCACCTGGAGCCTCTAGCCACGTTGAACTACTGGTAGTTTGCTTACTTTAGGACTGACCTTCTTCATCTTAGGACTTCCCCATCCTCCTGCCTTGTAGCATTTCAGCTTCCTCTTCTCTCTTGTGCTAACCCAGTCTTTAGCTCATTAGATCCCCCTCATCTGTGCCTTGGAAGGCAGTGCTTGAATCTTGTTAGCCTACTGCCCAGTCTGTGGCTTGGCTCACCATAAAAGCTCATTCCCACCCCCAACCCCCAGCCCCATGGCCAAGTACACTCACTGTCTGAGGAAACCCATTTTGTTTCTAAAACTATAGGTTGCCTTTGGGCATTCGCCAAGGGCTAAGGACAGTGCTAGGTACTTTACTTGCACTGTCTAGTTTAACCCTAGTAATAACTCTATTATTTCCATATTATCCATAAAGAGGTGGGCTCTGAGGGGTTCAGTGACTTGCCCAGGGCCCACTGCTAGTGAGCATTGGGGCTAGAATTTGAACTCTAGCCTATCTGACTCCAAAGGTCTTTGCACTGTATTATGTTGCCTGCCTGAGAAAAAGCTCTTCTCTGGTGCTCCCCCGATGTGTGCCTCAGCTGAGCCCTGGGGGCTACATCTGGCATGTCTGTTCACCACAGAGACCCTTTAGGGGAGGAGGACAAGGACACAACCTAGCTCTCCATATGTATCTGAGAGAGGCAGTCCCAGCTGCTGTTGCTAGAACTGGCCCCTGGCCCCACCCTTTCCTGGCAGTCCCCTCCTCATGCTTTCTCTATGAGTGTCGCCCCAGCAGAGAAGGTTCCTGCTCTTCTGGGTGCTATGGCACCTGATCTGCTACCCCGTGGGCATGACGGTCCCAGCTGTGCCCTGCCTGGCATATGAGGCTGCGTGTGGGGTAGAAGCCTACAGCCATGACTTTTTTTTTTTAATTGGCTGATTTTTTTTTTTTTTTTTTCTTTTTAAATTGTGATTTGGGTGAAAGTTTACAGAGAAAATTCACTTTTCATACAGCAGCTTACATACACTTTGTCTCATGACACTGACAATTTATCACAATGCAACAGCTCCCCTCCCCCTTCCTCCCCATAGTTACCTTTTTCCTGTGTCCTTCCCTCCCATGCACTCCTGCCCCCCTGAGCTGTCTCCCTGTGCAGATACAGCCCTTGTATTCTCCCGTGATTGTTCTCCCCAAGGAGTGTGTATCTGCCTAGTATAAATGTTCACCTCACATGCCTGTCTTTTGTTTGAAGTGGGTGGGTTCAATTCCAGACCTGAAGGGCAGCTAGGGGCCATAGTCTCAGTGGTTCCATCAGGCTCTATCAGACCTGCAAACTTGGTCCCTTTTTTTTTCCCCCCAAATGATTCTGAGTTTTGTTCCACTTTTTTTTCCCACTCTATCCAGGATCTCTTACATAGATCCCTTTCCAAGTGGTTGATAGTGGTAGGCAGGCACCATCTAGTTCTTCTGCTGCCATAATCATATAGGCTGAGGATCGCATGGTGTACCAGTCGCTTGGACTAATTGTTTCCATGAAACTTTCGTTTTCTTCATTCTTCTTTGCTCTGGATAAGGCAAGACCCATCGTTGCATCTAGGTGGCCACTTCCAAGCTTTTAAGATCCCAGTTGCTACTTGCCAAAGTAGGATGTAGAAGAATGTTTTGTGTAGTATGTTAAGCTAATTGAGCTTGATGTCCCCTGTGACTATGGTGCCGAGCCCACAGGTCCAATTGCTTGCTTCCTCTGGGTAGCTGGCTGTGGCCAAGAAGTGACTACAACCTTGTCCCTTGTCAGCTCTACTGTATACCTGGGAATTTTTACAAAGCCTATCAATACACTTGCAGAAATATTTTCTGCCAACCCTGTACATGGTCTTGGGCACACTCCCCCTGCATAGACATACCTAATAGCTCAGCCTCTCCACTCATCTATCCACCCATATATCCATGTTTGCCTTCATTGACAACCTACTGCCATGACTTTTGACCCTGCTAATTTGTTCCAAGGAGCTCTGGTAGCATAGTGCCTAAGGCACTTGACTGCTAACCAGAAGGCTGGCGGTTCAAACCTACCAGCCACTCCTCGGAAGGAAGGTTGGGCAATCTACTTCTGTAGTGATACTGCCTTGGCAACCCAAGGAGGGGTCGCTATGAGTTGGGCCGACTCGATGGCACATAACAACAACAATTTGTTACAGAGGCAAACATGTCAAGGCCTCTCAGAGAGTCCTTCAGGTCACTGATGTGCATTGATTTTGGCAGGTGTTTCTTGAACACCAGCTCTGTGCCAGGGCAGTGCTAGGCTATAGAGAGAACACAGTAAGAGAAATAGCACCTCTGGGGAAGTAGATGACCAGAAGGCCAAAGACAGTTTCTGCTCATGCTGCCACTGGTCACCTGTTCATTGTGTGACTATGGGTAAGTCATTTTCTCTGTCTGGGACTGTTCCTTCCCCTGTAAGATAAGGAAAATTCTGTAAGCATCAGGGCTTTGAAAAATTGAAGCAGCCATGGTGTGTCCCAGAGTTCTAAAGTAGGGATTACTGTTCCCTGCTGACATTGCAGACCAGTCTGGTCTCCAGCACCCTTCTGTACAGAGGACATTTGAACTTGGGCTTCTGTGAGGTGCGTGTGGCCTGGTCTTTGTCCAGCTCGCAGTGGTGAGCTGAGCCTCCAAAGCCCTGAGGGAGCTGCTGCACTTATGGCTGACTGACCTGGGGGTTGGTGATTCCAAGACCACCCTTAGCACTGTCGGCATCACCACCTGCAGCGTTAGCTGCTTCCTGCCCTGCCCTCTACTGGTGTTTGGTATGAAATTCAAGGCGATTATTCCCAGAAGACAGTAAGGGCATTTGATATAAATCAGCCCTGATGGTTTATCCCAGTAAACATGCTTTGACTCCAACCCACTGGCCCTGCTCATTCATTTTATGCATTAATTCATTTCACTAACATTTATTGAAAGCCTACTATGTATTAGGACCTAGATCAGAGGCTGGGGCCCAGCATGAGCACAAACAGTCATAATCTTTGCTGTCTCCTGGACCTTACAGTCAAGGAGGGGAGAGAGAGTTACACAGATGGTCACAGGCTCTGAGTGGATGACAGAGATCTTGTTTTCAGATTGGCTGGGGGGTGTCATGGAAGGCTGGCTCCCTGAGGAAGTGACACTGGAGCTGAAATTTGTAGAATGAGTGGGAGTTAATCAGACAGAGGGCAGTAGTGAGGGTAGCCCGGGCAGCACTGAAGCTAGCACATGAGCCCTGTGGCAAGAGGAAGTCCAGGATATGCAAGGTACTGACAGAGCCTGGGTGGCTGGCACACCTCAGGGAGTAAGGTCAGCCAAGGAGAAGGGAAATGGAGGAGCCAGACATGCAGGAGAATTCTGGTCTTCATCTTAAGAGCAGTCGGAAGCCACTCAAGATTCCTGAACATATCTGGTTCTGGTGTGTGCAGGATTTGAGGCCACCCAGCTGCGACTCTTGGTTTCACCTTTGGTGTGTGCAGCTCATTCTACCCTAGCAGTTACTCTCCTTCCTGGGCTGCTCTCCCAACACAGGCTCCCGTTGGCTATCCTGTGAGGCCTGAGCAGAGTCCCCAGAGGGCTTGCTTGCCCTGATTGTGGTTTCTTTGAGGAGATGCAGCTTTTCCTGTCTTCAGCCACTATCTCAGATGACCCACATCTTTATACCCTCCCTCCTGCCATCCAGGCTCAGAACAGCTTACTGTCCTAGAGCTTTGATTACCTACTTCTTGGTTGGTCATGCTCTGGACCAGACTTTTGACTTTATCTGACTGGGCTGGAGGAGCCACCTTCTCCCAATTCAGGCCTACCCCAGGCACCTTGGCCTAGTGGCTTTGTGAGTCAGAGGTGGTCCGGAGGCCTTGGGGGCTTGGGGGAGGGACTGGGAAATGCTGTGCTAGAGAGCACGTTCAAGTTGGAGCTCTGGTCTCACCCAGTGCCCATTTCTCTGTGTCTTGGGTTCTCTCCTGAGCAGTTCAAGAGGCCGACTCACTTGTCAGTGTGCAGCTGGGAGCTGCCCACCCAACAGCACCAGCCTCAGCCAAAAGAACCAAGGCAGCAGCCACAGCAGGGGGCCAGGGTGGGGCCTCTAAAAAGGAGAAGAAAGCGAAGCACAAAGGTTAGCTTGCCTTCCCTATGGCCCTTTCACCAGCCCTCCTACTATAGGGTCATTGGGGGGAGGTTTGTCTCCTCAGGCTTGGAAGTTGGGGGGGGTGGCCTCAGTGAAGACCCTGCATGGCTCTGAGGGTGCCCATGCACATGGCAAACAGGACTTGTCTAACTTGAGGGTGTTTGGGCTGACCTGTGGGTGTGCTATGGGTGTGAGTAGGCCTTCCTCACCACCAGGAAGTGAAGTCCAGCTCTGCTCTAGCCCAGATCCCACTCTTAACCTGAGCTCCTTCACCCTGACCCTTCGAGGGTCTTGCCCAACCTGGGCCAGGATACTCCCTTCAGTAGTGGTCTCTCTTCCCAGGCAGTCTGTCCCATTCTTGTGTAGTACTTGGTGTCAGCTCTTCCTCATAATGTGGGCTTCCCTCGACTCCCCACTTTAGTCCTGATTTTACCCTCTGGGCCCACAGACCAGTCTGTTCCCTCTGCTGCTCGCTCCAGAAAAGACCCACAGAGATGAGGACACTATGTGTGGCCCCTGCCCAGAGTCCTCTCTGCTGGTCAGACATCCCATTTCCTCAACCCCTGTTTAGGCACAGTGACTTCCAGGCTCTGGGTCACAGATGGACATTGGTGTGTCAGGGAGTGCGGGCTTCTGGAGCTGACTGTAGCATTCTAGGCATCGCCTGGCCAACAGGATAGCTGCCACATGTGTGTTGCAGGCCTTGGTTCTGTTTCTGAAGCTGTGACAACGTGGGTAGGAAGGCAGATGTGTGTGGGGGGGTCCTCTGCTTGGGAAAGTGAATATATGTCAACCTCAGTCTTTTTCAAGATGCCCTGTACATGTGGACTGTTCTAATGGTGTGTGTGTTACTATGTGTATGTTCTTGTCTGTGAGAGAGAGAACACTTAGCGTTGAGAACTTGTAGTTGGCCATGTTCATGAAAGGTTGTTGGCCTTCACTGTGGTCTGGATCGATCCTTGTTCTTCATCTTCTTTTTCCACTGACCACTTGGTCCCTTAGAGGACTGCTGTCTGCCTAAGGGATGTGGGGCATTTCAAACCAACCCTTGGCAGTTAATTTGGAGAACAGCCAAAGAAATGACACTCACATCCCTCCTCAGCTTACTGATCATTAACAGGCTGATGGTAGTTGTTAGTTTTTTAAAACTCAGTTTTATAAATAAAGTTTTGCAGAGGACCCCCCTCTTATCCCTCATCCTTCGTGGACTTCTGAGAATGCAGGCACAGGCCCTTCCCTACCCCCCTGGATGGGACTCAAGAGTGTCCATGGCCTGCAGGCACCAGCGGGCCAGCAGCACTGGCAGAAGACAAGTCTGAGGCCCGAGGCCCAGTGCAGATCCTGACTGTGGGCCAATCAGACCACGCCCAGGACGCAGGGGAGACGCCAGCTGGTGGGGGCGTGCAGCCCAGCGGGCAGGACCTCCGAGCCACGATGCAGAGGAAGGGTGAGCCCCGCGGGGGCCCAGTGACTCCCCCAAAGCACAGTCCCAGGTTCCCAGATACAGCTTTCTCCAGGAGCATGGCCTTCCTGTGTCTGTCTCAGCTCCCCTGCCAGTGGTGGGGGCACACTAGGAGACATATAAGAAACTTGGGCAGGGCCCCTGACTAGGCCAAGTTAAGGGAAAACAGTGTGAACCGGGTAACCAGCCCATAGCCCAGCTCTATCCCCCCTGCATCTCCTGCCCCTAGGGAGGCCTAGATTTGGGGCCAATGTCCTTTTCCTTCAGTTCCATAGAAAAAGCTCCTTTTGCAGAGAGCTCTCATGTCTGCTAGGGGAGCAGAGCCAGGAAGCCAAGAGTAAGGGCAGATCCTTCTCAGAAATTTGCTGCCCCAACAGTTGCCCATCCATGAGCCCTGCCCTGGGGAGTCCCTTGTGTGAGGTGGCAGAGGGAAAGGAGCCTGGCAGTGCCACATATGTTTTGAGGACTCTGATCAGGGAAGGCTTCCTAGAGGCAGGGCTGTTGAGGCACAACACAAGGATGCAGATGGCATTCTGGGTAGGAGAACAGTTTAACAACGGCTGAGGGCAGGCAGGGGTCCCAGTGCGGAATCAGTAGGCCCTGCATGCCAGACTGAGGAAGGAGTTGGGCCTTTTCCCAAGTAGGTTCCTTGGCCTAGGCCAGCCAAGGCCTTTCATAGGCCTGAGGTTAGAAATGGGAGGTTCTCAGTGCAGGGTCACTTCAGTGCAGGCTGGAGATGGGGGTGATATGGCTGTGGGAGGGACTAAGCCAAGGCTGGGCAGTGGGGGTGGGGGTTTATCATGCGGATCACTATCAGCCTCAGCCTTTATGTGCACATGATAGAATATGTGTGCATCTAGGTGTTAATGTGAGTATGTGTGTACATATGGCTCGGTGTATGTGTCTGGGTACATGTGAGCCAGTGTCTGTGAATGGCTGTCTCGCTGGGTATGTGCATGTGAGCACGTGTATTTCTGGGGTTGACGCCTCCTCACTTTTCCCTTCCTGCTCCTTTGCCTGGGCCAGGCATCTCCAGCAGTATGAGCTTTGACGAGGAAGAGGAGGATGAGGACGAGAACAGCTCTAGCTCTTCCCAGCTAAACAGCAACACCCGCCCCAGCTCTGCCACTAGCAGGAAGTCCATCAGGGTGAGTGAGGAGCTCTCCTGCACTGCAGGAGGTGGGACGGCAGAAGCCTGTTTAGAAGACTAGCCATGCAGGTTGGAAATGGAGTGGGTGTGTGAAGAAATGATGGGCAGCTGGCTTTTCTCAAGCCAGGGCCTGGACCCAGAGGCCTATCAGGAAGTTCTCTGACTTGAGCTCTCCTCTTTTAATCCTGTACCCTAATTTCTTCAGCCATAACAGGAGGTGGGAGAAACTGGAATTGGATGAAATGATCTCTGAAAATGTGCCTGCCCCCATCCTCAGGACTGTTGAGGGTAAAGGGCAGGCAGGGACAATTGCCCCAGACCATGGGATGGCCAGGTCCACATCCCAGAGATCCTACCCTGTTTCCCCACCATGGAGCAACTTTCAGTCCCAGACCCCAGTTTCAGGTGCTCAGGGTCCCCAGGACTCAGGCTTTGCTCCCCACCTACCCTGTAGGATGCAGCCTCAGCCCCTAGCCCAACAGCCCCAGAGCCACCAGTGGATGTTGAGGTCCAGGATCTGGAGGAGTTCGCACTGAGACCAGCCCCCCAGGGTATCACCATCAAGTGCCGCATCACGCGGGACAAGAAGGGGATGGACCGGGGGATGTACCCCACCTATTTTCTGCACCTGGACCGCGAGGATGGAAAGAAGGTGAGGTTGGCTTGGTCCTGCTGTCCCACCTAGGCAGGCTTGAGGTCCTAGGGGCTGGAAACCACAGATCCAACAGAACCTTTCAGTTTCCCAAAGAAATGGAAGCCTTCATGCCTAGTCATTGCACACCTTTGTGTCTGCCAGTGTCTGTGTGTGTGCACATACATGCATTCAGGAGCTGAAGCAAGGAAGAATCACTTGTGTGAGTGCAGGTATGTGAGTGGCAGCCATGATTGTGTGTGGACCAGAAGCTGGGCCTGGAACATGACCTTGCTCCACTCCCCAGGTGTTCCTCCTGGCGGGAAGGAAGAGAAAGAAGAGTAAAACTTCAAATTACCTCATCTCTGTGGACCCAACAGACTTGTCTCGAGGAGGGGACAGCTACATTGGGAAATTGCGGTATGAGTACTTCCCCAGGAACGGGAGGCGGTTGGAAGGTGTGGGGGCAGGTTCTCAAGAGTAGGCATCTCATGTCTCTGAAGGAGATCTAGGCCAGAGTCTTAGGATCCTCTCCCATGATCCTCTCTGTCTATCAGATCCAAACATAAGCCAAGGCCTATGCCCAACCTAGAGCCAGACTTGGAGTTGGATTTCACACCCCATACCCTAAACTGCTGTCAGGTAGAGCAAGCTCACCAAGAGTGGCAAATAAAACCCCAGACTATCATTGACAGTTCAGGCCACTATGGAAGAGCTGCCTTGCCTCCATGATCTGTGCCACAGGGCAGGACCGAGAGTGAGCCCTTGAGGAAAGAGTCCCAGCATCCTTGGGGTAAGGGTTGGGGGAAGGCTCCGAGCTAGGCCTTAAGGAAGAGATAGGGTTTGCCGAGTAGAGTGCCAGATTGAGGGAATATAAAAAAGCTTAGGGATAAGGAGCTAAAGCTGGAGATGGGCCTGGACCAAGAATCACAGGCTGGATGGGATGAAGATCTTCTCATCCACTCTCCACTGGGTGCTGAGTCCCTTCTGCAGCCTTGCCACATGCCTTCTGCTTGTTCATCCCCAGGAGGAGCACTCCTGTTAGCCCAGGGAAACCTTTGGAACCCAGATTTACCTTCCTAAACCTCTCTCACTGAACCGAGATACCCTGTTACTCACCTCACAGCAAGTCCAGGCCTTCTGCCCATGAAGGCCCTTCAGAGATACGGAGTCAATGAACAGTATGACCAGTGGCCCACCCTAGAATGCTTTACAGGCTCCTCATAGGACAGACTGTGAGCTGCTCTCTGTCCTAGTGCAGAGGATGCATGACTACTACTAATTATACCTTTCCTTCAGGTCCAACCTCATGGGCACCAAGTTCACAGTTTATGACAATGGAGTCAACCCTCAGAAGACATCATCCTCTACTTTGGAAAGTGGAACTTTGCGTCAGGAGCTGGCAGCTGTGTGCTATGTGAGTCCTGGGTTCCTAGCCATGAAACCTAGTATAGGCTGCTGATCTGGAGACCATCCTATCCATCTTAGTGGGTGGACAAGGCTGGGTGGAGAGGGGCAGTTCTCTCTGGTGTGGATCCTGCCTGGACCTCTCCTCCTGTTTTCAGGGCTCAGACCACCTGCCTGGGGAGGTACAGGAACCAGGCCTGCCTCTGTGCAGTGCAGCCCAGGAACCTCCTGGAAAGGAGGCAGGTTGTCTGGGTTCTTACCTGTGCGTCCCTCAGTCTGCCAGGCCCTGCATGGATTACAGGCCCCTTTGCATAATCATCTTACTGACTGCTTATGACACTCTTGAAGAACTCGATCCTATTTTCTTCATCATACATATGAGGAAACTGAAGCACAGAGGTTGGGTCACTTGCCAATGTCACACAGCTCATAAATGATGAAACTGGAATATAAATGCAGGAGCTTTCTCCACATTGCTGAACCTCAGTTTCTTCATCTTGAAAATGAGGGTTTGGTACCCTGCCAGCCTGAGCGTGGGTACTTCTTTGGGGGGCCATTTGGAATGCCACAGCTATTCTGTATGACCTAGTGGTGCCATCTGCTGGTCAACTTTGGGGAGGCAGCCTGAATCTTTTGTTCAGCCAATACTGAGCTGTATTTGTAACTAATACCCAATTATATTCCAGGTACTGTTTGAGGCACTGAGGACACAGTAATGAACAAAACAGACATAGTAAATTTCTACCCTGAAGGAACTTGCCCCTTGTAGTGGAGACAGTTTTTAAAACAAATACATAAGTAAAGAATCTGTTCCTGATAAATGCTAAGATACAGGTGGGATGGAGGATATGAAATGTCAGTGTATGTATGAGATTTTAGGAAGGAGGAAAGGGCAGACTTCCCTGAAGTAACTTGAGAAAAGAACAGAAGGAAGTGAAAGGCAGGCTTTTCACTGTCTGGGGGAATGCTGAGGAAGTAGCCATGGCAAGGGTCTTGAGTGCCTGGCATGTGGGTGGAATAGTGAGAGGGAGTGTAAATGCAGGGGAGAGTCGGTGGCGAGGAGAGTGAGAAATGGAGGCCGTATCGTGAAAGGCTTGTAGTCAAAGGAAGAAACTTCCTCTGCGTGAGCTGGGAAGCAGAGGAGGAGAAAAGCGATCTGACATATTTTAACAGGACCATGTGCTGCTGTGTTAAGAACAGATGGTAGGAAGAAGGGGCTGGGGGCCAATGACAAAAACAAGTCATCCAGTTAAAAGCTGTTAACAGTGATCTCAGTGAGATGGTGATGAAGAATGGTCAAATCCTGGATATAATCAGAAGGTAGAACTGACGGAATTTGCTGATGGATTAGAAGTGGGGTGAGAGTGAGGGAGGAGTCCAGGATGGCTCCACCCATTTTTCCTGAGCATGTGGAAAAACTGAGTTGCCACTGAGGCGAAGAAGACCATGAGAGGAGCTGGTTTGGCAGAGTAGACATCCAGGAGCTCAGTTCTGGACGTATGAGTTAGAGATGCTAATCCTACGCAGCCAGGTACAAGGGTTGAACACTAGCTCATCATCTGTATTGCCCTCTGCACCTCATGCTCTTGCATAGGGGAGTAGGTTCCTCCCACGGTCAGTGTTGAGTTCTCGCTCTTGTTTCCCAGGAGACAAACGTTTTAGGCTTCAAGGGGCCACGGAAAATGAATGTGATTGTCCCGGGCATGAACATGGTTCATGAGAGAGTCTCCATCCGGCCCCGTAATGTGAGTCTCTGTCCCACCCTCCCCCCTGTCCCACCATTCTAGCCTCTGCATGAGCTTCTAAGGGCAGAACTCTAGCTGGTGTGTGTGTGTAGGACATAGAATGTGAGAAACCCTGGAGGCCTGGGGAAATCTGTGTCCCTGGGATAGATCCCTCTTTGGGGTGGTTATGGTGCCAAGGCTTTGGGCCTGGCTCAGGTGAGGCTGCCCTCCCAGGAGCATGAGACACTGCTAGCACGTTGGCAGAACAAGAACACGGAAACTATCATCGAGCTGCAAAACAAGACACCTGTCTGGAATGATGACACACAGTCCTATGTACTCAACTTCCATGGGCGTGTCACACAGGCCTCCGTGAAGAACTTTCAGATCATCCATGGCAATGACCGTGAGTGTTTCTGCCCCAACTCATTACCGTCCACATGATATAGCTAGGGCTTTTAGCTCAACGTTCTGCTCACCTAGCCCTACCCCTTACAAGCCAAAGCTTGAGGAAATGGGCTATATGGCTTAGATTAGATGTAAAGAAAATTTCTAACCATAATGATTGGGCAGCCCTGGAAGAACCTTCTTTGGAGCCTTGGTCCTAGACTCTGTACTCAGCAGAATCTCAGGCCCAGGGACTCCTTTTGAATGGACTTTCTCCTCTTCTTCCCATCTTCTGGTGTTTGCACACATCTTTCTCCTTTGCCATCTACCACCTCTCTCCTGCCACATCTCCCAATTGAATTATCTTTTACCTCCTTTGGGATTCCTTTGGCATCACTGCTTCTTGCTTTCCCTTCCCTCTTGTGGTTTGAGTGTCTGTCTGTCCTTCCCCATTTCCACCATCCCTACTCTAGTCTTTTTTTTTTCTTTCTCTGTCCGTGCTTGTGCCTGGCTCCAGCGGACTACATCGTGATGCAGTTTGGCCGGGTAGCAGAAGATGTCTTCACCATGGATTACAACTACCCACTGTGTGCACTGCAGGCCTTTGCTATTGCCCTGTCCAGCTTCGACAGCAAGCTGGCCTGTGAGTAGAGGCCTCCTCATGAGCTTTGAGGTTACTCAGCCCGGAGTGGAGCTTGCCTTCCTGCCTGCCTGTGGAGACAGCCCTGCCTACCCTCTGTACATAAGCCTCCTGCCAGGTGACTCTTTGGCCCTGAGCAGGGTCCTCTGCCCCTCTGCTGAGGCAGGGGAGTGGGAGTGAGCGGGTGACTGGGTATAAAGGGACTGGAGTGAATTCCTTCTGTGCCCCACAGTCAAACCCCCTCCACACCCTGCTCCGGGTTAGTATCCTGCAGCAGCCATGTTTGCCAAGCTGGGCAGCCTCTTCAGCTGGGAAGGCCTGGTGAGGCGTCGAGGGAGAGGAAGCACAATGCTGGGCTGCTGCAGCCCAGCCATCCACTCGGCCCAGGAGTTAGATGACAGCAGATGCCCCAAGAGGGAGGGGCACAGTGTGTATGTGTATATGTACGTGTGTATATAGGGCATATCAGCTTTACCTAGCAAAGGGTTTAGTGGCCAGGCTTGGCTCTGTGGTTTCCTGCCTGGTGTTGAGGCTCTGAGCAATTCAAGAGGCCTAGCTGGCCCCTTACAACTGCAGAAGGCCCTCTAACTTTAGAAGGTCCCAGCCAGGCCTGGAAGAAGTTAGGGTCATAGTGACAGAGTGGGGGTTTGGAGAGAAGGTGAGTGGCAGGACCTTGGCAGGATTGTAGGGGCCTGGCTAGGTCTAGGCTGGGGTAACTGGCAGGTAGTGCAGGGTTCAAGCTCAAGTTGGTTTCTCCAGATTTGCTGTGCACTGGCAGGGGCAGTGGGAACCAGCCCTCAAGGCCAGATGTTTCAGTGGATGGGGTGTGCAGGACAGAGGCTCAGTGTGCAGGAGGTACAGGAACAGTCTCCCTGGGTCAGGCTGTCATGAGAGTCCCCCCAGACACCCCAGTACCCACCTGCTGAGCAGCCTTAGCCACACCCAGGAAATAGGGATGAGGTCCAGGGCACCAGCCCCAGGCTGCACACAGCTGAGCATGGCTGGAGCATGGCTGGGGCTCTTGCTGGCAAAGGGCCATTCCTAAGCCATGACACGTTCCAAGAGGAATTTCTCTCTGGAAAGACCCAGCTCCAGGTGCTCTTGCCAGTGCTCCACCACCTGCTGCTGTCAGCCTAGGTCACGGTTGATGGGGCTTCTGAGTGTGGCTCTGGAAGGCGGTAGGGCTTTTTTTGTATTTATTAGAACCATGAAAGGTTAGATGTGTCAGGCCCCTTAGAAATCAACTACTACAACCCCATCATGTTAGGTGAATCATACCCAGAAAAATGGGACTTGCCTAGGGTCACCTAGCTGGTTAGTGGCAAGAGTTCAGAACCTCAAGCTCCCTTGTTTTCTTTGTCCCTACGGTCCCCTCCCAACACTGATAATCTTCAGCTCTCTGACTTTCCTGGGGCCTAGTATGGATGCCCTCTCCCCCTTTCCCTGATTCCAGAGACTTAAAAGTGTCAGAGTTGATGTATATAATTGAAATCATTTCAGTAGGAAATTGGGCTTTTTGCACATCAGTCTGATCAGGATTGGCCCATGCCTGGGTCCTCCGTGAGAGCTGCTCAGCCACAAGCAGACGTCAGCGAGCCTGCTGCACGTTCTCCATCTAGATGTGGTAGATAGGGTGTGAGTGCTCCAGGGCTGGGGCTGATCGCTCCCTCCCCGCCATACTTCTCCTTGGATGACACCATCCACCCTACAGGCTTGGGTCTTCTAGGCTCTTGCCCGTTTATCATTTTCCCTGAAAGAGGCTTCTTGCCCAGATGGAGATCAGAAATCAGTGGGAAGCAAGAAGGAGTTGTATCTTGCTTTAGAGCAGATGTGCTTGGGAAGGCTAAGTAGAAATTTATTGGTTTTTTTAATAAAAATTTTATTTTAAACATAAGACTGTAGGTGAAGGAACTGATAAGCTGACTTGGATCTGCCTACATTGTAGACAGACCTCTCTGAGAGAGAGTTCTCCAGTGATCTGGTGGTTTTTTTTTTTTTTTTTTTTAAGAAAAACAAAAAATAAACATGGTCTAGTTTCTAGACAACCCTTGGGGACCATTTTGAGGACACTAGAAATTTCTGTGCTAGGGCTGATCCATTCCCCAGTAAACTACTTCCCACAGTCCCAGTTTGGCCTTCCTTCCCTGACTTCAATGAGAAGAAACATGCTGACATGTGAGATGATAGAAACTTGATGTTTGCCAGGGTCTGGTCAAGCTGTTTCTCTGGGTCTAGGATTTGGATTTTAAGGGCAAGCAGACTAATCTGGGACCTAGTGGAGGTGGGGATCTTGGTAGCAGACTGGAAACAACAGAAGCACAATGGAGCACTCTTGGCCTTTGCTTTGCCTCTAGGACATAGAAGGGGGTTGAGTAGATGCCATGGTGCGCTGCAGGCCAGGGAACGTGGCGCTGGAGCTCTCCGGCACGGACTGAGGAGGGTGGTCTCGGCAGCAAAACTCTGTGTTGGATGTTGAGTCACAAGCAGCAGCAGCAGCGGCATCTGCTGCCAGGACTCTACTTGCAGCCATTCTGGTTTTTACTGTCGGCCCTGCAGCCCTGGGCCCAAAGACTCCTAAAACTTACACGGCCCTGGAAACCAACTGGGCTCAGTCTCTCCTATAGCAAAAGTTCTTGCCCTCTATAGCTTCTGCCCAGATGGTCCTTGGTTGGGCAGGGAACTCAGTGACTGAATGAGCAGTCCCTAAGGGTGGGCAACTGGTACCTTAGGCAGCTTCTCTGTAACTGCTCCTGGCTCTGTAGCTTGTCCTGGGGCTGCACTCCAGAACTCTACCCCTTCTGCTGCAAAACACGTTTTGTGCAGAGTGGTGAAGTTCACTTCCCCAACTCTTCTCCAGTTCTAGCTTTTCTTTACTTCCGGCTCCAAGGTGCTCTGTGTCCATCTGTGTGTGTATGTGTCTGCATGTCTGTGTGTGTATTTGGGAAGAAGGGCAATCTGCAAACAATCAACAGATTTCTTAGTATCTTATTGCTAAGGATGAGAAAGAAAGGAATAAGGATGTAGTTATGATCCCCTGTGAATTTCATTCATTCATTTCATGCTCCTTGAACAGAAAGTTTATCTGGGCAAGTACCAGCTTGTTCTGACTGGGAGTACACTGTCCAAGAAAGTTGTTAGTTTTCCACTTTCCACTCTTTGTTACCTAAAGAAATCAGTGTGTCGCATGCATGCTTTTGGATGAATTTGAACATAACCTAGTGAATGTGCCTTAAAAATCAAGATACTAGTTCAGCACGCAGGTCCAGATGCATGGTGAGGACAGGTGTTGGAAGCCAGGGATTGTGGTCATCACAGGCTAGAAGAGAACCTTTGGAGCCTGCCTCCTTCAGTGACAGTAGGACAACAAAACTGTAGAAGCAGCAGTTTTTCTTCACTCTGGAAATAGCAGGGCATTTACCAGTTAGGTAGTTATACATTTAATGCTTTAACAGTGGTGACTTCAAACTAAAAGGCCCGAATCTTCCTCACAGTGGGTCTGCAGCAAAGGGAGATGCTGGGAGAGCCATGCCCATGGCTATTATGCAAGCACAAATTCCGCTCCTAGATGGAGTCCCTGGTTTTCCCTTAACTGCAGAAATACTGGCTTTCCCTTCTCACTGTCCCTCTTGCCCCAGCTGCAACACCTTGTGTGATCTGCCAGACGGCCCTGAGAGCACACTTTTCCAGAGAGCTGAATGAGTCTGCTTTCTTGGGATGCCTGCACTGTGCCTGACTCCACTGCCCTGGGCCCTGGCTTGTGGGCCTCTGGCAGCCCCCAGGAACAGGCCAAAGGATAAGATCTTGTTTGAGTTAGTTGGCCATCTGTTCATTCAGTTTCAATTCTCTGTCATCTCAGGATACAGGGGAGGCAAAGAGCGGAAGTATCAGGACAGGGTTAATTTTTTAATTTCCCAACCAGGTTGAGAGAGGCAAGTTGGTCTTAGGGAGAACACTATTCCACTTAGTAGCCATGTGATTTTGAGCAAATCATGTAATCTTTCAAGGTCTGTTTTCTCATCTGCAAAATGAAGAGGTTGGTCTATAAAGCTGTAGTAGGATTCGGGGTGAATGAAAGTTAATCTCTGCTTTCATCACTACTTTTTCTGGCTCATCACTGTGCCTTTTTTCTTTTCTAAGAAAGACATCACACCCCTCTCCTCATCTGTTCTACTGTCCCTCTCCCTCCCAAGGTCCAGGTGGAGCTGGAGGTTAGGCTGGGAGCTGGTTTCCTAGGGGTCCCTCAGAGTGATATAAAAAGGGAAGCCTGACTCTGCCTCTTTCATCCCACATTTGGTGACAAAGGGGACTTGGTCAGGATGGGTGACGTTTCTCTTGCTGGGAACACACATTTAGCCAGTTTTCATGATGCCTAGAATGTGTATGTCTATTTGCACATGATTGTCTTTTCCTATTTCGAGTGGTCAGACATTTTATTTTTGCTCAAAATTATCTGGAGTTTTAGACAAACTTGCAAAACTGTGCTTTTATTAAGTGACTTTTTGAATAAACTCTTTGGTATTCTGGAGCAAATGTATTTATTTATTAGTATGTGCAATGACAAACTTGGTATCTTCCCATGTTGACATTATGTA